GTGCTGGAGCTAGATGAAGCCGTTGAAGTGGTGGCTTCGGAGGAGGAGGTGGTTGAATCGGATGAGGAGCTTGGATAAGTAGAAGAAGTGGTGGGTTCGGAAGAGGAACTGGATGAGGAGTAGCCTGAAGAAGAGCTGGTGTAAGTTGAAGAGGTTTGTGAGCTTGAGTCAGTAGAATGGTCAGTGGTGGTAGTTGGAGAAGTGGTGGAATCCAAGGATGATGTGGAAAAGGTTGAAGAAGTGGTTGTGTCCGACGTTGAAGAGGTACTTGATTCCATAGAGGAGGTGGTATCTGTGGAAGAGGTGGAGCTGGAGTAGCTTGAAGAGGTGGTTGTTTCCTCAGTGGTGCTGGAGCTAGCTGTAGTCGAATCCACAGAAGACTCAGTTGGAGAAGTGGTGGATTGGAAGGAAGACGTGGTTGAATCCGATGAGGAGCTTGGGAAAGTAGAAGTGGTGGGCTCCAAAGAGGAGCTGGTGTAAGTTGAAGAGGTTTGTGAGCTTGAGTGAGTAGAGTCCTGAGTGGTGGTAGTTGGAGAAGTGCTGGAATCCAAGGATGATGTGGAAAGGCTTGAAGAAGTGGTTGTGTCCGACGTTGAAGAGGTACTTGATCCTATAGAGGAGCTGGTGTCTGTGGAAGAGCTGATTGAAGACATGGTTGTTTCCTCACTGGTGCTGGAGCTAGATGAAGCCGTTGAAGTGGTGCTTCGGAGGAGGAGGTGGTTGAATCGGATGAGGAGCTTGGATAAGTAGAAGAAGTGGTGGGTTCGGAAGAGGAACTGGATGAGGAGTAGCCTGAAGAAGAGCTGGTGTAAGTTGAAGAGGTTTGTGAGCTTGAGTCAGTAGAATGGTCAGTGGTGGTAGTTGGAGAAGTGGTGGAATCCAAGGATGATGTGGAAAAGGTTGAAGAAGTGGTTGTGTCCGACGTTGAAGAGGTACTTGATTCCATAGAGGAGGTGGTATCTGTGGAAGAGGTGGAGCTGGAGTAGCTTGAAGAGGTGGTTGTTTCCTCAGTGGTGCTGGAGCTAGCTGTAGTCGAATCCACAGAAGACTCAGTTGGAGAAGTGGTGGATTGGAAGGAAGACGTGGTTGAATCCGATGAGGAGCTTGGGAAAGTAGAAGTGGTGGGCTCCAAAGAGGAGCTGGTGTAAGTTGAAGAGGTTTGTGAGCTTGAGTGAGTAGAGTCCTGAGTGGTGGTAGTTGGAGAAGTGCTGGAATCCAAGGATGATGTGGAAAGGCTTGAAGAAGTGGTTGTGTCCGACGTTGAAGAGGTACTTGATCCTATAGAGGAGCTGGTGTCTGTGGAAGAGCTGATTGAAGACATGGTTGTTTCCTCACTGGTGCTGGAGCTAGATGAAGCAGTTGAAGTGGTGGCTTCGAGGAGGAGGTGGTTGAATCGGATGAGGAGCTTGGATAAGTAGAAGAAGTGGTGGGTTCGGAAGAGGAACTGGATGAGGAGTAGCCTGAAGAAGAGCTGGTGTAAGTTGAAGAGGTTTGTGAGCTTGAGTCAGTAGAATGGTCAGTGGTGGTAGTTGGAGAAGTGGTGGAATCCAAGGATGATGTGGAAAAGGTTGAAGAAGTGGTTGTGTCCGACGTTGAAGAGGTACTTGATTCCATAGAGGAGGTGGTAATCTGTGGAGTAGCTTGAAGAGGTGGTTGTTTCCTCAGTGGTGCTGGAGCTAGCTGTAGTCGAATCCACAGAAGAATCAGTTGGAGAAGTGGTGGATTGGAAGGAAGACGTGGTTGAATCCGATGAGGAGCTTGGGAAAGTAGAAGTGGTGGGCTCCAAAGAGGAGCTGGTGTAAGTTGAAGAGGTTTGTGAGCTTGAGTGAGTAGAGTCCTGAGTGGTGGTAGTTGGAGAAGTGCTGGAATCCAAGGATGATGTGGAAAGGCTTGAAGAAGTGGTTGTGTCCGACGTTGAAGAGGTACTTGATCCTATAGAGGAGCTGGTGTCTGTGGAAGAGCTGATTGAAGACATGGTTGTTTCCTCACTGGTGCTGGAGCTAGATGAAGCCGTTGAAGTGGTGGCTTCGGAGGAGGAGGTGGTTGAATCGGATGAGGAGCTTGGATAAGTAGAAGAAGTGGTGGGTTCGGAAGAGGAACTGGATGAGGAGTAGCCTGAAGAAGAGCTGGTGTAAGTTGAAGAGGTTTGTGAGCTTGAGTCAGTAGAATGGTCAGTGGTGGTAGTTGGAGAAGTGGTGGAATCCAAGGATGATGTGGAAAAGGTTGAAGAAGTGGTTGTGTCCGACGTTGAAGAGGTACTTGATTCCATAGAGGAGGTGGTATCTGTGGAAGAGGTGGAGCTGGAGTAGCTTGAAGAGGTGGTTGTTTCCTCAGTGTGCTGGAGCTAGCTGTAGTCGAATCCACAGAAGACTCAGTTGGAAGTGGTGGATTGGAAGGAAGACGTGGTTGAATCCGATGAGGAGCTTGGGAAAGTAGAAGTGGTGGGCTCCAAAGAGGAGCTGGTGTAAGTTGAAGAGGTTTGTGAGCTTGAGTGAGTAGAGTCCTGAGTGGTGGTAGTTGGAGAAGTGCTGGAATCCAAGGATGATGTGGAAAGGCTTGAAGAAGTGGTTGTGTCCGACGTTGAAGAGGTACTTGATCCTATAGAGGAGCTGGTGTCTGTGGAAGAGCTGATTGAAGACATGGTTGTTTCCTCACTGGTGCTGGAGCTAGATGAAGCAGTTGAGGAGTGGTTTGAGGAGCTTGGATAAGTAGAAGAAGTGGTGGGTTCGGAAGAGGAACTGGATGAGGAGTAGCCTGAAGAAGAGCTGGTGTAAGTTGAAGAGGTTTGTGAGCTTGAGTCAGTAGAATGGTCAGTGATGGTAGTTGGAGAAGTGGTGGAATCCAAGGATGATGTGGAAAAGGTTGAAGAAGTGGTTGTGTCCGACGTTGAAGAGGTACTTGATTCCATAGAGGAGGTGGTATCTGTGGAAGAGGTGGAGCTGGAGTAGCTTGAAGAGGTGGTTGTTTCCTCAGTGGTGCTGGAGCTAGCTGTAGTCGAATCCACAGAAGTATCGGTTAGAGATGTGTTTGAGTCTAGATAAGATAGTAGGGCTGAAGAAGTATATCTGTTGGGTAACATAGTGTAATTTGTTGCTGAATCCATGTATGGTTTGATATATTTTTGTTTTTCTATTATAGTGTGTATGATAGGATTTTCTGAAGAATATAAAGGTTTGTCTTTTGATGTAGGATATGATGATTCTGACAAAGTCGGTACATTTTCAAGGTTGAAATATTTCTCTGTAGAATTTCTCATAGGAGGAATTGCGGCGGTGGATGCAGTTGTCGCGATCATAAATAGGAGAAAACATATCCTCCCAAAGTGCATTTTTCCGGAAGTCATTTTCTTTTTTTCTGTAAACAATAAGAAAATAGATAGATATTTATATATATACTCACATATATATATATATATCCATTTATACATCATCCTAATATTGAGCTTCATATAAAAACGAAATATATATACATACATAAAATCATATTTCATTACAATTCTTGGGTCCCATTTTTTTCATATCTCGCAACTACTAGGATGTAATTATATAGTAAATTGTATTTTATGGATGATGCCAAAACCCAAGGTTGTTTGTAGCAAAAAGTGTAATTTGTAGAATGTAGATAACCGATAACTGTATATGTATCTTTTTTTTCAAAGTACGTACGTGATCTTTCATTTTCTTGAAATACGGTGTTAACAAAACACTTAGTTTTAGTTATTATAGCATTAGTTGTTGTTATTAGTTATTAGTTATTGTAATATTAGTTATTGCTGCTATTAGTTATTAGTTATTGAAGCATGGAAACGTTTTGCGTGTTTGGTAGCTAAATAAGATATGATTCTTTGCAAAATCGCTGAGGCCTTTGTAAATGCTTTCCGTAGCTGCACCAGCTAATAGAGGCTGATGGAATTACAGTGATGACGTAATTGAAACTGGTTCAAAAACAGAAAATATGCTACATATAAACATATGTGAATATATGTGTATACACATATACATACATATATATATTATATATATATATTATATATATATATATATATATATATATATGTGTGTGTGTGTGTGTGTGTGTGTGTGTGTGTGTGTGTGTGTGTGTGCGTGTGTTTGTGTGTGTGTGTGTGTGTTGTATGTGTATGTGTGTGTGTGTTGTGTGTGAGTGTGTGTGTACACATACATACATGCATATAGACACATATGTGTGTCTGTGTTTCTATAAAAAAAAAACATAGACATACACTCATATGTATGTATACACATACATATGTTTGTGTGTGTGTGTGCCTTCTGAATTTATATTATATAAGAAGAAGAAAAAGCTGTCAGTTAATGACAGCTTAAAAATACAGACAAGTACAAATCAGATTAGTGGATTTTTGCTTACAATTCAAATGAAAATAACAATCGAAACAGTTTACGGGTAACAAAAGAAAATTACCTCCATACCTAATTTACTTGTATATATAAATATATATATATATATATATATATATATATATATATATATATATATATATATATCCATATATATAATGGAAGTCCATCGTGAGCGATGAAGACGTCAATGATACTTCATATGGGATCCCAAGCCAAAGTTTGATGCACAGATGCATCCACATTTGGGACATGCAACAACAGTTTGCAGGTCCGCTCTCCTCTCCATGCAAGCTGGGCGCCTCTGGTCTAGGTTCTGCAAGCGCTGAAAGGCATTGACTCCTTTGTGGACAGCCAGACACCAGGCACTGCGCTAGAGGCAAGAGTTTT